GTCAGGGGCATGTACATTGGTTGCGGGCGCATCCCCAGTGTGGGGTGTGCAGGAGGCGGCTGGTCAATGTTTCTCTCTCATCGACATTTCTAGCTCTGTCTCTCTCCCTTCCTCCCTGTAAAAAAAAAAATCAATGAAATATATTTTTAAAAAACAAAAACAAACCATGCTGTGGTTCATGTTAATCCTCCTGCCTAATAAAAGAGTATATGCAAATTACCATCACTCCAACACACAAGATGGCCACCACAAGATGGCCAGCAGGGGAGGGCAGCTGGGGGGACCAGGCCTGCAAGGGAGAACAGTTAGGGATGACCAGGCCTGTAGGGGAGGACAGTTAGGAACAAACAAGCTGGCAGGAGAGCAGTTAGGCATCAATCAGGCTGTCAGGGGAGTGGTTAGGGGTGATCAGGCTGGCAGACAGAGCTGTTAGGGGCAATCAGGAAGGCAGGCAGGTGAGCAGCTGGGAGCCTGGATTGTGAGAGGGATGTCTGGCTGCATGTTTAGTAGGACATCCCTCCAGGGGTCTCAGATTACAGAGGGTAGAGGCTGGGCTCAGGGACACCCTCCCCACCCCTGTGCACGAATTTCATGCACTGGCCTCTAGGTTATATGTAACAGTTCATTGTTAAAGATAGAGAGCAGATAGATAGACAGATATATATATATATATATATATATATATATATAAAGTTATTAACTTCAGAGAGGAAGGAAGGAGCGAAATGGAAACATCAATGATGAGAGAGAATCATTGACCGGCTGCCTGCTGCACACTCCACACTGGGGATCGAGCCTGCAACCCGGGAAGTACCTGAGCAGGAAGAACCCTGACCTCCTGGCTCACAGGTCCGCCCTCAGCTCCTGAGCCCTGCCGCTGGCCACCCTCCTTTTTTTCTTCTTCTTCAATTTTAAAATGTATCTTTGTTTTTAAAATAGAAGCTACATTCAACCATTGACATTCAGAGACATAAGAAGGTGGACGATGGAAACCTCCCTCCCTCCCTCCCACGGCTCCCGGACCGCAGCGCGGTCACCGAGGGGCCTGTCGGCCGATGCGCACACAGCCACACTCCTGACCCTCCGCTGGAGGACGGTGCGCTGCTCGGCACTTCTCCTCGGGAGACGCCCTGTGCATGACAGGCGCTTCCTCGGAGGCTGTCGTCAGTGACAGCGATGGTTCGTGTCCGTGGGGCTCGGTGGGGCTCCGCTCACAGACCGCCTGGCCTGCCGGCGGGAGTGCTCAGCTCCGCTCCTCCCTCCGGGCCTGGCCCGCTCTCCCGGCAGGTGACTGGCTCAGTGGGGCCCACGGGCGCAGGGATGGTGGCCTCATGCAGGTGCCACGGGTCCTGGCCACGTGGCAGGCGCCCAGCCCTCTGGCGGCTCCCAGGGGCGTGTGTAGGGCCACGGGGCCAAACTGACGAAGCACAGGCTCCACACACCAGCGTCAGCATCAGGCTGGGGACCTTCTAACCCGAAACTCCTCCCGTTTTTGTTTTTTTTTAAATATATATTTTATTAATTTTTTTACAGAGAGGGAGAGGGATAGAGAGTTAGAAACATCAAGGAGAGAGAAACATTGATCAGCTGCCTCCTGCACACCTGCTGGGGATGTGCCCGCCACCAAGGTACATGCCCTTGACCAGAATCAAACCCGGGACCCTTCCGTCTGCAGGCTGAGGCTCTATCCACTGAGCCGCACCAGTTAGAGCAACTCCTCCAGCTTTTTAAAGCGTTTTCTCCCCGAGGGGACCACAGAATCTAATGCTGCGTTTTCTAAACCATCAGTGGAGCCAAAGCAGGACGGCCGAGCTGCCGGCCACTCGGGCCACACGGGAGTTTCGGCTCGGGGATGGCTGTGCCGCCGGTCCCTGCAGGGAGCGCGTCGCTGGGAGATGCCCGTGTGGCCAAGGTCAGGGCCGCGTCTGCCCGTTCCGCCCTCCCGGCCTCCAGTGCCGTCTCCCAGCTGGGCGGGCACAGGCAGCAATGAGCTCATGATGGATCGTGAGCAGGAAGTGTCTTCGCGGCCCTCTGGCAGCAGCTGCAGAGCCCCTGGCATCTGCTGGCTCTGCGGGGCCGAGTGGGGGCTCCCTGGGGGGGCCCCGGAGAGCAGGGAGCAGGCAGCACGGGAAGGCTGGAGTGGGGTTCCCGGGGAGGCCGGAGAGCAGGGAGCATGGGGAGGCCGGAGCGGGCTGGGTCAGGGGACAGCGACCAGGCAGGGGAGCGGCAGAGGCAGCTGAGGGCGGGCACTCCTGCCGACGGGGACCCCAACCCCACAGCACGGTGATGGAAGTCTGTCCCCCCTCCCTCAGCAGGCAGGTGGTCTCACTCCTCACTGTCACACCTCCGTCACGGTTTTGCACTCACCATTCAGTTCCCACGTCTGCGAAGAGGCTGCTCTGACCCGATACAGACAGCCGCTCAGAGCGCATGGGTGACCCCTCAGGCCACACCCTTTGGGAACCTGCTGTCATGGTTACGGACCCACCTCTGGAGCTTTCAGCCCGCCATGCCCGTCACTTAGTGAGAAGTACTGCCTTCTCATCCTGACCAATCCCACACTCTAAGCCGTCAATAAAACCTACGTGGGCCTCACGTGCAGGTTGTAGCTGTGACCTGTGACTGTGACCCTGGCTATAGCCGTGACTTGTGGCTGTAGATATGACCTGTGGCTGTAGCTGTGACCCTGGCAGTGACTGGGACCCTGGCTGTGGCTGTAACCCTGGCTGTAACTGTGACCTGTGGCTGTGACCCTGGCTGTAGCCGTGACCTGTGGCTGTGACCTGTGGCCGTAGAACAGCCCTGTGGCACCAGAGTTGCCGCGTAGAAACCACTCCGCCTGCAGTCAAACAGAAGCCCAGGCTGTCTCGGACGCCCTGATGTTGTGAACCCGCCTCAGAATCATGAGTTACAGAAATAAAGACCAACAGTGGCATGAAGGGCAGGAGAGTTTATTTTAAAAAGCGGTTCCACTGGTCCTCTGCCCAGCACACATTCCGATGGCTTTTCTCTTGGGCATTCACATCGCAGTGTCTTCTACACTGAAATGTTCCAACGGGACCAAGAACGTCAGAGAAGCACAGACTCGGCTGGAATGAGCACGGGACGCTGGGGTCCGAGCCTGGGAGCCACTGGAACCTCTGACAGCCGGCGGCCGGGCACGGGCGCCAGGAAGCACGCCAGTCCTCCGGCCGGCAGCGCGGGCGCACACCCTGTGCCTCCGTCTTCAGTGCGTGTCGCTGCAGCCCTGCCGCCGGGCGCCGGGCTGAGCACAAACCACCGAGACCCTCAGCCGTGGCCAGGCCACCAGAGCACGGGTTTAGTGATTTAAAAAGAAAATCAAACCATCAAAATAAAGAGGCAAAGAAAACGGATTTTTGAATCATCTGAAAGCATAGTGCATATTTGTCCAATATAGATCCAAACTTAAAGTAATGCTACAATTATAATCTCCAAACTTCTGCCATAAAATTGACATTTATGCACACATGGGTTTTATCAAACTGTATTTTCCATCAGCGAGAGGAAGTCACTCCTTAGAGCAATGTATTTTGGTCACAGCCTTCCTGGAGACAGCCTGAGGAACACAGTGTTGATAACTATTAGGAGACCCTGATCTTAAAACCCTCCCATCGGAGGTTCCTCTCAGAGAAATTGTGCTGCTGGGTAATTATTCCGATAACTGTCCTCTTCCTTAATCAATGCGCCTCCCCAGTATTTCAAACTGGCCTCTCAGCTTGTGTGTGCCCACGCCCATGCCCGGTTTCTGGGGCAGTGCAGGTCTCACTTCCTAAAAACAGCAGGAAACTAACCTTTCAGCATCTCTAAACGCAACCGGATGGTTTTAGCTCAGCAAGATGAGAAACATGGAGATGGGCCTTGCCAGCGGAATCTTTGTGCTTTTTAAAACGAAGCTGCTTTGGAATCTTTTTGGTATGCGTCAGCCTTTGTATTTTCTTTAAAAGAATATATTTAAGGTAATTTTAAGGATAAATGTCCTGGGGGCTTATCAGTACTTAAAAATAACAATTCTTCTGCTCTCGGCATCTGGAAAAGGATTATTTCTGGTCCCTCCTCAGGTCAGTGCTACCCGCATCACGTGTAACACTGAATTCACAGACCTCCCTGAAAAGTGGTCGATTAAGTAAACGAGTGAGTGAGTCACAGTGGAGTCTCGATCGGTTAACAGTGTAGATCCGTTAGAAAACATCACACTGAGCGGAAAGAAAACCTTCAGCTAAAAGGAAAGAAAAGAACCCTCCGGCAGAGCCGGCACCCTCCAGAACCTGCCTGTCCCGGGCCGGCCCAGCCTCCGTGGTGAGCGGTGTGCGTGCCCGCACACAGGCCTCAGGATGCGGAGGGAGGCCACACGAGCACCGAAGGGAGCAAAGTGCCTGTTGCCTCCCCAACGGACCGCCAGTCCCGCCGAGCACGGGCCCTCTGCCACGCTCACACACCGGCCGGCGCCTCGTGCCGTCACCAGCGGTCTGTCCTGTACGCACTGGCCTTTCGCTCTTCCGATCAGAGTCGTGGCTGCTCTATAAAGGGGCGGGGAAATGGAAACCCGAGTCTAAAGGCACGAAGTCGCACAGCTGCTCTCGTCGGAGTTTGTAAACAGAGAACAGGCTGAATTTCGGGGACCCCATCTGCGGGCGGGGAAGGCATGGGACAGGCTGGCTGGGGCTCCCCAAGACCCCGCCAGGCTCTGAGGTCGGCCACGTCTGCGCTGAAGACCCATCCTCCGGAAAGCATAAGGCGAAGAGTACAATCACATCGTTACGTGGTAGTGTAGGGTACATAGTGTAACTGAGCTACAGGCGGTCCAGTCCTTACTGCCGTGCCACGGCCGCCCGGCCAGCACGGCCCGCCCGCGGCGCACAGCCCGGCGGGGCCGCACGGGCGGAGCGGCAGCAGCTGCGCGGTCTGTGCCGGGCAGAGTCCCCGTGGCCGGAGCGGCCGCGGCGCACAGCCCAGCGGCGCCATGTGGAGCGGGCAGCGCCCTAGACGCTGTCGTACTGGTGCAGCGCCTCCTCCAGCCTCCGCGTCACCTTCTGGAAGAACAGGACCTGCTGCTGCAGGAAGTGCTGCATCTGGGCCCGGAAGTCGCGCACGCGCACCTGGTGGAAGTGGTGGATCTCGGCCAGCGTGGCGAAGGAGATGGTGTTGCAGCGCTCCAGGATGCCGTCCGCCTTCTGCGCCTCCATCTTGCCCTCCTCCACGTGCCGCCGGCTCTCCTTCACCTTGGTCAGCGCGCCTGCGGGGAGAGGGCATTGACACGCGTGGGCCGGGGGCTTTACACACCACGTGTTCGGATAAAGTAATACAGGAGCCAGGCCGATCGGAGGCTCCCTCCCTCCCAAATGTGATTCATTAGGAAATAAAACAACCGCTGCTCTCCCCGAAGTGCCCACAGGATCCAGGGCAAGAACGTGGTTTCAGGGAACCGCCTCACGGAGGACCCAGTGTGTGCGGACAAGGGCCACGGGCCACGGGCCACGGCCTCCTGCAGGCCCCGAGGCCAGGCCACCGCATGACACCACGTGAAGCAGGAGGGCCTGGCATTGAGCCGGGAGGGGAGCCGGGGAGCCGGGATAGTGCTCACAGTAACGGGGAGCCGGGGAGAGTGCTCACAGGAACCGGGGAGCCAGGAGGGCGCTCGCAGTAACCAGGGAGCCGGGTAGAGTGTTCACAGGAACCGGGGAGCCGAGGAGAGTGCTCATAGGAGCTGGGGAGCCGGGAGGGCGCTCACAGTAACCGTCACCACCAGAGGGAAACACAACCTGCAGGAGGGACCGCAGAGCAGCACAGCCTCCCCAGCTCCCGGCTGAAACACATCCTCCTGAGGACGGAGGCCAAGAAAAAAGCGAGGCCCTACGCCAGCCCTGCGCACCGGCTCCTCCTGCGCCGCCTCCGGAGGCCAGGCGGGGCCACACCGCTGGCCACAGCCACGGGGCCTCAGGGCCACGGCCTCTGGAAGGCGCAGACTGCAGGAGCTGCCACAGACTCGGTGTCATTACCAGGCCGGCGAGCTGGGCGCTTCGCTGGAAGGCCTCCACGGGAGGGCTCACTGCGAAACGGTGACCTCATCCCAAAAGGAGGAGCCAGACCCCAGGCCTTCCTTCCCACCCGAGGCTTTGCTCCCCGTAAAGAGCCGGAAGGGCCGCAGCGCAGCGGGTGCAGCTCTCTGCCTCACAAACACGGGCGGCATGACCTGCCCCACATCCTGCCACTGAGCCCTGCCAAAGCGCTGGCCAGCCCTCCCGCCGGCCGCTCCCACCTCGATCCCACACGGCCTGTGCCAGGCTGCGGCCGCCTTCCTCCCGGGCGAAGGGAAGCCGGGGGCGGGGCAGCCGCAGGCCGTCCCTAACAGATCGCCTGGATGTACCATGGACCAAACCCCAGCGGCTCCCGGTCACACCGACAGCAACTCCTGCTCAGAGACAGGCCTCTGCCCCTTCCCCCCTCCACCACCCACAGCAGCCACGGCCCGGATCCCGCCTCTCCCAACCCTTCCCCGGTGAGGCACCTGGTGAGCCACCTGGTGCAGCTGGAAGGAGCAAAGGGAGGCAGCCACCACGGGTCTGACGACGGCAATGGGCTTTCAGAGGGTTACGTTCGCACGCTCGTAACAGACACACTAACCAAGGCTCCAGAGCTTAACCCGTGACAGCTCATCGACATCACAGCCCAGGCACCCGGGCACCAGCCGCCTGGGCACCTGGGCACTGAGCCGCCCAGGCACCGAGCTGCCCAGCACTTAGCCGCCCGGGCACCCGGGCACCGAGGCGCCCGGCATCTAAAACTGGGCTGAAGAAGCTGACAGGCTCCCTTGCAGACCCCTCTGTGCCCCCCCCCCCCCACCTCAGGGCCCGAGGGCTGGCTGGCTGCTCCAGAATGATCCTTTCTCCCCTCCAGCAGATCCCGTGTTCCAGTAAGTTCCGTCCTCCTAGGACCAGTGACACAAAAGGCCCAGTCACTAGGCAACAGGGATCCAAAGCTCCATTTTCCCTGAAAGAAGACGTTTTCAGAAAAGCAAGCACTGACTGAAGTTTGAAACCATGAACGTGCCAGCAGGATGCACTGGGCTTTCTGTCCTCCGGGGCCTTGCCCGAAGCCGCCGTGTGACGGGGCAGGCGGCAGGCTGAGGGGAGCCCAGGGCCGGACACTTCTCCCCTCTTCTCGCTGGCCCACGGGAACGTCAGAGGAAGCGCTAATGTGGCCCAGTGGCCTTCTTCGCCCTTCTCCCCCACCAGGCCCCACCCGAGCCCCACTCACGGCCACTGTCCCTCCCTCCCTCCCTCCCTCCCTCCCTCCCTCCCTCCCTCCCTCCCTCCCTCCCTCCCTCCGCCCACCCACCAGGACTCTGTCTCTGCTCCAGTGGTTACTTTTCTTTCTTTCTTTGAGAAAACATCTCAGAAACCGTAGTCCTTTTTGCAGGGAGAGCAGGGCGGCGGAGCGGGAGTAAGCCCCCGAGAAGCCACCACAGGGCCCCTCCTGGGCAGGCGGGAGGAGGGGGCACCGCGTGGAGGCCCGGGGCGGACGGACGCTCTCAAGGACACGCTGGGCGGTCCCGCACTCCGCCGGAGGACGCGGGCTCCACCAGCAGGACTGTAGCTGCAGGCCGGCTCACATCTGCTCCGGGAGCGACGCTGGCGCTGACTGCTGGGCTGCACGGCTGGCTGTTACCTTCCCGTGCCCTCGACCTCTGCACGCGGGGACAGTCCCACCGCGAGCGTTTCACCCGGGGACACTCGTACCCGCTGGACAGACAGACAGCACCGGAACACACGTGTCAGAGCAGACTCGAGGCACCACCGCCACAGGCGCGCGCTCGGCCCCGATGCCACACGCCAGTGCTCAGGGTCTCTGCAGCCAGCGTGGCTTTCCCCAGGTCGCCAGTCCCCATAGCCAAGTCCAGGAAGGGGCTCCTCAGCTCCCTCAGGCCCACACCTGACCTTCCGACATCCCCTCTTCTGAACGGGCTTCCACTGCGCCTCACTCCCCTGCCCCCACAGGCCTCCGAGGGAACTGGAGTCTCCGGAGGGCCACGCCTCAGCGCCCCCTCCCATGTCTGTGCTCACCTGCCCTTCCCTCGGGCTGTGCCCGGCCCCAGGAGCTCTGGGAGCCGGGCCAGCTGCCCCCTGAGGGACTCGGGCAGCTCTCTGTGGTCGCCTCCTGCCTGCCAGGGGGAAAGGAGGGGACTCACCGCCAAACCCAGCCTCTCTCCCTCCCTCCCTTCCTCACTAACTGAAATCAAAAGAAAAGCATTTAAGTAAAAACCATCCTTAGAACAGACAGCCCCTCCGCTGGTGGCTCCACGGCCCCGGCCTGCAGTCCCTTTACGCCCCCCTCCCTCCTGGAGGCACACAGCCCGCCTCCTCCTCCCACCCCGAACGCCCCGTCAGCTTAGGATTTCATCACGTCTGGCCTCACCCCTCCCGAGCCACCCTCTATCGGCCACCGGACGTGCCCCTCAAGGCGGGGCTGCCCGGCCACTCCCTGTCTGACCAGTGAGGCTGGCTCCCTCCCTCCCTCCCTCCCCCGCAGCTGACCGCACATCACCTGAGGGCTGTTCTCGGAGCCCAGGGCAGGGCAGGCTGCACTGACTCAGCAGAGCCAGTGGCCAGCCCACCGCCGAGGCCTCCCGGCTGCTCCAGGAGCCACACCTGGCCTGGGTTCGTACTGGGGTTCAGAATGCACACCCCCTCCCCCCCGATGGCCTCCTGTTCTCCACTCCTCCCGCCCAGGTAGTCGCCCCTCCTGTGTCACGGGCGCGCACGCCCACACGTGGGCGTGTCCTCTGCAGGGGAAGCTCCAGCTGTCGCCTCTCGCTGAGCTGCAGGTGCGGGTGCTCAGCAAGCCCCCGAGGGTTTCCGAGACCCACCTGCACAGCCACCCAGTCCTCCGAGTCACCGAGACAGCCTTCCCAGGAGAAGCCCGAGGCTCCCACAGCACAGCCGACACCCCTGCTCCTCGGACCCTGGCCTCTCCCTGCCAACACCACACACGTCCAGGTCCACCTCCACCGTCCACACACCCCCTCCAGGACCTGCGCCTCCCAGGCAGGTGCGACCTGGCTCCACTCCCAGATGACCACCGGGGAGAGGGCGGCACGCGGGCTCCAGGGAGGGCACAGCGGCCAGTCCACCCAGCAGCACCAGCCTCACCCGCTTCCAGCGCCCGGGTCCCAGCCTCCCTCACAGCAGCCGAGGATCTCCACCTCCCTGCGGGCAGACCGCCCCCTCTTGCCCCCGGTCCCCGCCCATCAGGCCGCTCAGGGAAGCCTGTCCACTCCACCTCTACCCACACCCCGATGGCCTCTCCCCTCTCCGCTGCCCCCCCCCCCCCCCCCCCCGCAACCCTGGTCCAGCTCTGGGACCCTCTGGATCAGCGGGCAGCTTCCTGCTGGCTCCCTGCTCCTGCCTGTGGCACTGCCCCTCCCCGTCGGTACTCACAGTCAGGACCAGCTGCCCATCAGGCTCAAACCCTGACTCCGACCCACAGCCCCGCTCCCCCAATCCCCTCCGCTGGGCCACCTGCCTCCTCACCCTCTCAGCCTGCCCGGCCCCCGGCGCCCCGCCCCAGCACCCTGGCTCCCGAGACCGCTGGGCGGCTAACTCCCCGGCCTCCTCAGGCCTCTGCTTAGATTCCAGCTGCCAAGGAGGCCGACCGGAGCACCCTTTAAAACGTCACCCTGCCCCAGCTCACGTCCTGCTGCTCGGCCCTGTCCCTGCACCGCACACGCCGGCGCACACGAGCACCAGCACTGCGTCTGTGTTCGCCCTCCCCCTCCCCCCCCCCCCCCCCCCCCCCCGCCAGCAGGCACCGGCCACCAGGTCTGTCCTCCCCTCCCCCCGCCAGCAGGCACCGGCCACCAGGCAGCGCTCAGCTTCGGCCACTCATACCCCGGGCATCTGTTCCCAAATACTTTTCGCTGACTTTTAGAGGGGAAGGAGAAGGAGAACACCAAATGAGAGCCCACATCCATGAGCTGCCTCTGCACACACTCACTAGACTAGGCATGTGCCCTGGCCGGGAATCAAACCAGCAACCTCCCGTCCACGTGCAATGCCCACCGCCCACCTCTGACCCACAGGGCGGGCCCGGCCTGGCACTGAGAGGTGCTGAATAAACCAGGCTCTCTCTGAGGCCTACGCACAAGCCTAATGACTTATTAGCGCCCCCACCCCACCGTCTTCCCACCTGCTGAGAACACAGAGAACCTTTCCCAGGAGAGGAAGGCGAGTCAGGGCGACCCAGCGTTCCCAGGAGCAGACTGACCTTCAGGGAGCCGCCTGGGCCCTAGGCAGAGCTGGGAGCTGGGCCGCCTTCCACAGGCATGGGTGGGGGGGGGGGCACGAAGCCACAGATGAGCGACTCAGCTTCTACCCAGACCCTCAGACTGAGGCTTAGACCTTCTCCGGCCTCCCTGGCCCACCCCCAGGGCTGGCTTTAGCCCAGGAGACAGGACGCAGACCGGAAGGGCCCAGGCAGCGGCCTCCCCCGCCCGGAGGGACCTGCTATCTCCAGTCCCCGTGGGAGGGACCAGGCCAGGCCGGTTCCACTCCCCCCGCCCTCGGTTTTGGTGGGACAGAAGGCTCCTCTGGGGCTTCAGAGGTTGACGAACCAGCCGCTGACTGTGTCATTCCAGCGCACCGACCGCGGACACCTGTGTGGACGCGTCCACTTCCTCCTGCGTCACCCCTCAGACCAACTAGCCACCTGGACGTGCCTGCACCCCGAGGGTCTCCACATCACCAGCAGAGATAAAGCCACTCTCTCCTCTCCGATGTTTACACCCTTCCCTCCTATACTCCCCGCAGGTAGCCCACAGCCTAAGCGGGACTCACGGCCCCTGCACGGAGCTTTACCATGAACTGGAGATTAGTCAGATCTTTGGGAACAGGGAGAAATGAGCTAAGAAACAGACAGACAGATCCTCTGTTGTTCCTCACACTCACCAACGTCGCAGCACTGTGGGCAGGGAGGATGAGAAGAGAAAACGGAGGCTACGGGCACCAGCTGTGACGGACAGTGAGGTCTGCCTCGCAGGAGTCTGTGGGCAGAGAATTAACGGATTCCCCGCCTTTCTTACAATGTTTGCATTGATTTTAGAGAGAGGAAGGGATAGAGACATCAGTGATGAGAGGGAATCACGGGTGGGCTGCCTCCTGCAGGCGCCACACTGGGGATCGAGTCCACAGCCTGGGCAAATGCCCCGACCGGGAACCGAACCATGACCTGAGACCTCCTGGTTCATGGCCGGTGCTCAGCCACTGAGCCAGGCCAGCTGGGTGGGACTCCTCTTCAGACAAAGCCAAACATGAATGAAATCCCAACAGTCTGAATTCCCGCCGCTGCCCTGCAGGCCAGAGAAGCAGCCTTCTCCCCTCCCCTCAGCCCCACTGACCACAGCAGGCCTGTTTGTCCCAGATCCATTAGCTGAGGGAAAAGTCACCATTCCAGAATTCTCTCTCGGCGAAAGGAACCAATGACGTTCTTCAATGATGCAGAAAGCTAGGGCTCGGCCTTCGGCGGAGGGAAGGCCGCCACACTCTGCGGTCCCGGAGGCGGCTGCCGGCCAGAGGCACTCGGCACAGAGCAGGCCAGGAGGCTGAGGGCTCCGCTCTCCTTCCACGGAGATGGCCACGTGGCTCAGCGCCAGCACGGAGGGCACCGCTCACACACGGAAAGGCCGGCTCCTGGGCGAGAGACCAGCCACAGTGCCAACGCCCCGCCCTAGCCCAGGAGCTGAGGGGGAACCTCACTAACCCCTCTCTACTGCACTGGCCCCTGAAAAGCTCTTCCCAATCACTTCCTGTCAGACCGCGCATGCAGGAGGGAACCGGTTTCCTCCTGCTGAAACGCAAGCAACGGGAACGTGAGAGATGAACAATCCTTCTGAATTCCTAACATTCTCCCTGAGCTGAAATATAAACACAACAAACGTTGTTCAAGTTGCTTAAAGGTTTTTATCTTCTTGTTGTTCTTGTTCTCCTTGGACTCAGCTTGGAGACCTTGGAGGAAAAACCACCTGTAAACAGGATGCCAGGTGCTCCAGGCTAACCGGGTTCATTCCAGCGGCCACTGTGCAGTTAAGGAGGGGCTGGGGTGGGGTGGGGAGCTGCTGATGCCCGGGGCACACTCGCAGGGCGTCGCCCGGTGTGACACTGTCACTGGCACACAGCCTCCCCGATAACCGCGGCCTGTGACCCAGTGCTCCGGCACACTGCGCACTGCACCTTAAATGACACATTGTAAACACACGTCGTCCAGGGACACAGGCCCTGAGCATCGCACACCGAGGCCACTACACACACACACACTGACCACGGACGTTCCTCCCAGGTGCCTGGGTTATTCTAAGCGACATAAAACGGCCTGTGTTTAATAAAGGGAGTTTCTCCAATCCCAAGTCCTAGGAGAGCTTTAGCTTTAGGATCACAAAAATAAACCAGCCACATGCACCGCCGTGAACGCCAAGCATCTCTGAACAAACCCTGCCCGGGGTGTGGGCTGAGCCACAGCGAGATGGGCGGGCAGGACCGGCCACCTGGGTCCAGGCCACAGGTGTGTGCTTGGCTCCGCCCTCCACCTACTCACCCACATTTGCATAAGTTACATAAACAACAGAGGCCGCCAGCCCGGGGCCCACGGGCGAGACACAAATGGAAGTTAAATGTCTCGTCCTGCATTCAAGGCCAAAGAGTGAGCCGACCAGTGCGGCGCTCAGGGACTCACACCAGTTTGTGCAGAGCACAGGCGGGAGAGGCGGGCCGCAGCGCTGGGCTCCTCTCAGTCACCCACTGCGGGAGGTGCTGTCCCCACAGGCGTGGACTGGAGGGGGAGGAACGGGGTCTGAGGCGGACACGGCAGGAGGGACAGGCAGGTTTGTGTGGCTCCAGAGGCAGCTTTCGGTTCAATGCCCGGGAGGCCCTGCCAGAGGCCAGCGGGGTCCTCACTGGGCTTGGCCTGGGAGGCAGTGACCCCTCACACGGAAGGCCAGCCCGGTGGCCCAGGAGGTCTCCCCGGGGGAGTCAGCTGGGTGAGCCTCCTCCCCTCCCCCCTCACAGGAGGGAGACCCCTGCCGGCACCCCGGCACTGCGGGAAGGCACAGGGAGGGCCCCCGGGCCACACTGCTCTCGTGGACGCTGGGAAGGAACAAAGGGCCCGTTTAGCTGCACCGAGTGTCAGGGCGCTCTACCCGGTACGGCCCTCGGAGCTGGCAGCTCCGGTTCCCACCGAGGCCTCAGACCGACGCTGGGCTTCCACATTCCACGGCGTCCCCACGGCTCCGGGCTCAGGGACTCCCACCACCATCACTGGCCTGAACAGATTCCTCCAACTTCCTCAAAGTCTCCTGGCGGCAGGGAGGCCCTGCAGGAAGCTGAGTGTTTCCGCTGCCCCGCCGGTCCCTGGGAGGACAGACCAATTCCTCCCGAGCAGGGAGCGGGGAGCGAGGGCAGACTCACCGGCGTTTGCAGGTAAGCCTCCCCCGAAGGGATCCCAGGGCTCACAGAGGCCCCTGCTGGTGTGGACACGGACCCCAGAAGGACACGGACCCCAGAACCCCAGAAGGGCCCGGCCCAACACCCAAATTCCCCAGCGATGCCGCAGACACCCCCTCCCCCAGTCCCTGGGCCGGGCACCACGCCCCTCCCTCGCCCCGCCCTCACCTTTCTGCACGTGGATGATGTCGGGGAAGTTGGCCAGGTGGCCCTGGTACAGCGCCAGCAGGTCCATGACGGGGTCCAGGTCCTGGCGGGGCTGCTCGGCGAACAGCTCGCCGATGGCGTCGTAGGCGTCGCCGGTGAAGGCGATGGCCTGGTTGAGGCCGGCGGAGAAGGCCTGCTGGTCCAGCTCGAAGGCCTGGCCGAGGCCGCGCAGCGCCTGGCCCACCTTCTGGTACTCCTTGCGGAAGCCCGTGGCCTGCTTGCGCGCGAACTCGGTGGCCGTGTGCGCCAGCTGCAGCGCGCTGTCGTCCATCCGGCGGGTGAAGCTGCGGAAGCCGTCCACGCGGCTCTCCACCTCCTGCAGGTCCAGCGCGGCGGCGGGCGGCGTGCTGAGCGTCAGGAAGAAGCTGGCGCCCACCATCTCGTCGCGCTCGGCGCGCCGCTTGCCCTGCTTCCAGGCGCGCTCGCCGTCGCCGCCGCTCGGGCAGGTGAGGAAGTGCTGGAAGGCGTCGCAGCGCGCCAGCACCGGGTGGCTGGCCATGTGGTCCATCCACCAGAGCAGGCCGCGGCGGCGCTTGGCGATGAAGTCCTCGTCGAAGCGGCCGGTGGCCTGCTTCTCGGGCAGGTGCGGCACGGAGATGACCGGGAACTTCTGCGCCAGGCGCGCGTACAGCCAGTCGAAGTGCTTGTAGCGCCGGTACACGGGCGCGCGCGTGTGCGTGGGCACCAGGCGGTAGGCGATGTAGCTCTTCATGCCCTTGAACTTGGTCTGCTTGGTGGGGTCGTCGATGGAGCAGCGGAACGGGTAGGGGTTCTCCTGCCACTCGGGGCCGTGCGGGCCCAGCACCACGCACAGCTTGTCGCCGTCGCGGACGAAGCCCGACGCCTCGCCCAGCACGAACGCCTCGCCGCCCGACTTGACGAAGGTGGAGAAGCGGTTCAGGTTGCGGCTCACGGTGGCCGAGCTCTTGGCCGCGCCGGGCGGCGGGTGCGGGGCCGCGGGGCCCGGGGCCGTGGACAGGCGGTAGCGGCCGGGGGCCCCCGCGGAGGAGCCGTCCGGGTCCAGGGACGCGCCCGGCTCGTCCGCCACCGTCGAGCTGTCGTCCCACTCGTCGTCCCAGTCGTCGTCGCTGCCCTGGGAGCCCGGGGAGCCGCCGCCGTACGGCTGCGGGGCGGCCCCGGCGAGCGGGAGGCCGGGGCCCGGCGGCTGGTAGGCGCTGGGCGGCTGGAAGGAGCTCGGCGGCTGGAAGGTGCTCGGGGCCTGGAAGGTGCTGGGCGGCTGGAAAGAGCTCGGCGGCTGGAAGGTGCTGGGCGGCTGGAAGGAGCTCGGAGCCTGGAAGGCGCTCGCGGGCTGGAAGGCGGCGGGCGGCGCGGGCAGGGGCTCCAGGCCGCCGGGCGGCACGTTGGCGTAGCGGGCCGGGCCGGCGGGGCCCCCGGGGCCGGCGTCGGGCGCGGGCGCGGGCGCGGGGCCCGGCTCGGGCGCGCGGAGCACCTGCACGTAGGAGGCGGGGAAGAGGCCGCGGTCGCCGCGGCTGTTGACGCCCTCCAGCCAGCCCTCGATGTCCCGCTCGCTGCACAGGCTCAGCACCTCGTGCTCGCGCAGCGAGATCTCGCCCGGGTTCTCCGACCTGAAGTCGTACAGCGCGCGGGCGCGCAGCGCCATGGTGCCCGCCGAGCCCGCGGGGAGGCCGCCCAGGGCCGCGGAGGAGCCCACGCCGCCGCCGCGCCCGCCCCGCCGCCGCCCGCGCCGCGCGCCGCCGCCGACTGAGCCGCCGCCGCCGCCGGGGGCGGGGCCGCGCCGCCCACGTCCCCAGCCGCGCGCGCCGAGCGCCGAGCGCCGAGCGATCGCCCGGGGCCAGGCCAGAGCAAGCGACGCCCGAGCCGCCGAGCGCCGGGCCCGCGCCGCCGCTGCCCCCTGGTGGCGGGCGCGTGCAGCCGCCGCCGCCACAGCAGCAGCAACCGGCAGGTGGAGGTGGCGGTGCAGGCCGGTGTGGAGGCTTGTAGGTGCGGAAAGGTGTGGGAGAAAGTCCTCAGCGCAGCCTGTGCCCCCATCCCCGCTGTGCCCGCGCCCCCTGCAGCCCGCGGGCCTGGGGGCGGGGGCAGGAGCAGAGCCCGGGTGCTGTGTGTGGCCGGCTGTGCTTGGCGGCCGGACCTCGGGGCTGGGCTGGCCCCACCTTCTGACAACTCCCCCGTGTGCCCTGGGTGGGTCCCCCGCCGTCCCTGCCCCTGGGTGCAGGGTGACCGTTTCACAGGCCAGGGCCACGGAGCAGGGGCAGCAGCATGGGGCCGTCTCCGCGGTGGGTGAGCCGGGCGCGGACGTTTGCAGCCCCTGTGGCTGCGGGGACGGCTCTGGGGAAAGCAGACACCCCGTCCTCCTCAGGAAAAGCTGGGTGCCCATCCCAGACAGGGGGTGCACCAGGGGGGTCCGGGTCCAAGCCTGAGCTCACCCCGCTTGGTGCTGAGGTCAGGGGCCGCCCAGCTGCCTCTGCCTCTGTCCCTGCCCCTGCATCTGCCCCTGCCCCTGCCCCTGCCTCCGCTTCCATCATGTTGAAGTGAGTCCATAGCAGGCCCTTCCTGAGTGCTGACCAGCTCCCATCACTGCAGCTGCAGCCCTGGCCCAGCCCTTCCTTCTCATCTCTTCGCCCCACATTATCCCTGGGAGGGCACCTCTCATTGGGGTTCAGCCGGTCTCCAACCCCTTTCCAGCCAGCCTGGGGAGCAGGCCAGAGCGGCCACCCGGGGAGCAGGCCAGAGCGGCCACCCGGGGAGCAGGCCAGAGCGGCACCCGGGAGCAGGCCACCCGGGGAGCGGGCCAGAGCGGCCACCCAGGGAGCAGGCCAGAGCGGCACCCGGGGAGCAGGCCAGAGCAGCACCTGGGGAGCAGGCCACCCGGGGGGCAGGCCAGAGTGGCACCCGGGGAGCAGGCCAGAGCAGCCACCCGGGGAGCAGGCCAGAGCGGCCAGCCTGGGGAGCAGGCCAGAGCGGCCACCTGGGGAGTGGGCCAGAGTGGCCACCCGGGGAGCAGGCCAGAGTGGCCACCCGGGGAACAGGCCAGAGCGGCACCCGGGGAGCAGGCCAGAGCGGCCACCCGGGGAGCAGGCCAGAGCGGCCACCCGGGGAGCAGGCCAGAGCGGTCAGCCCGGGGAGCAGGCCAGAGCGGCACCCGGGGGGCAGGCCAGAGCGGCCAGCCTGGGGAGCAGGCCAGAGCGGCCACCCGGGGAGCAGGCCAGAGCGGCCACCCGGGGAGCAGGCCAGAGCGGCCACCCGGGGAGCAGGCCAGAGCGGTCAGCCCGGGGAGCAGGCCAGAGCGGCCACCCGGGGAACAGGCCAGAGCGGCCAGCCTGGGGAGCAGGCCAGAGCGGCCACCCGGGGAGCAGGCCAGAGCGGCACCCGGGGGGCAGGCCAGAGCGGCCACCCGGGGAGCAGGCCAGAGCGGCACCCTGGGGGCAGGCCAGAGCGGCCACCCGGGGAGCAGGCCAGAGCAGCTGCCCGGGGAGCAGTGCTGCTCATGGCCGAGACTCCCCAGCCTCCCCCACTGACCGCGGCCTCAGGCCGGCACTGCCCACGGGTGCGCTTGTGCTGGGAAACCAAATCCACGAGCGAGCAGGTTCCGGAGGAGGCGTTTTCAGCTGCGCGCTGGCGGGGACTCCTCAGGCCCCCTCGGAGGCCAGAGTTTCGGGAACAAAAACATGCCGTCGGCTCGCACTGAACACAGAGAAGACACGCGTGTCGCGTGTGGACCCCTAGCGGCGACGAGGCTTAAAGGAAAGCGTTTAGACTCGGCCTCCTGCCCGTGACTTCTCTGGAAGGCGCAGCAGCACAAAGGCGCGGGCTGAGAAGCCGGGACAGGCCGCCCTGAGAGCAGGCGCTGCGGTGGGGGCAGCGGTGCTCAGCTCTGCCGTCTGGGGGCGGCCCGGCCCCGAGAAGGGCGGAGAGGTTGAAGGTGCTGGCCTGTGGCACCCACGTGGCAGGGAAACCTCACCGAGGGTTTTGTACCCGGTCTATCTGTCCCATGTCCTCCCGTTGGAAACCGACGGCTGTCCGCTCGGGCGAAGACACAGATATTGTTAAAGTTTCCTCTCGCCGAAGCCGGTGTGGCTTAGGGGATAGGGCGTCGGCCTGCGGACTGAAAGGTCCCGGGTTCGATTCCGGGCAAGGGCATGGACCTTGGTTGCGGGCACATCCCCAGTAGGGAGTATGCAGGAGGTGGCTGATCGATGATTCTCTCTCATCGATGTTTCTAGCTCTCTATCCCTCTCTCTCCCTTTCTGTGGAAAATCAATAAAATATATATATTTTTAAAAAGTTTCCTCGCCGAAGCCTGTTTGGCTCAGTGGTAGAGTGTCGGTCTGCGGACTGAAGGGTCCCGGGTTCGATTCCGGTTAGGGGCATGTACGTTGGTTGTGGGCACATCTCCGGTGGGGGGTGTGCAGGAGGCAGCTGGTCAATGTTTCTCTCTCATCGACGTTTCTAACTATCCCTTCCTCTCTGTAAAAAATCAATAAAATATATTTAAAAAAAAAAAAAAGTCTCCTCTAGAAAACGGAGCGCAGCACCCCATTCCGGAGGTGCCGCAGGGCCACGATAGCGGCCTCTTGCTGTTCACTGCGCTTTTGTCGGGGCATCGGCACCTTCCCCTTGGTCCCGCGGCCTGGGGGCGGCCGGCCTCGCCCCCTCGCCCGCCCTGGAGCGGCCCCTGGCCGGCGCTGCCCTGGCGCAGCCAGTGTGGGTGCCGCGGGGCTGTGTTGGAGAGAAGGTCGGGGAAGGTGGAGCTTCTCCTCCGCACCTGCCCCAGCTCCCCCTCCTCACGTCCGCCCCCGCGGGGCCTGCGGGGCGGGTGCCAGGCGGCAGCAGGAGCGGGCCCGGGCCCAGCATGTGCGGGTGCGGACGGCCCGGCCAGGGGCGCTCGTGTGGAGCCGTGGACTGCGGACCCGCCCCGGCCCTCCGCCTCGCTCGGCTGTCGCTCCGGAGCCGCGCTGGCCTGTCGGGGACCGGGCCGGAGGGGCCGGGGGAGGCGGCCGGGAGCGGCGGAGGTGCGGTGGCAGAAGAGGGGCCCTCAGCGCTGAAGAGGGTGCTCGGCCTGAGGGGACGGGGTGCGGCCCAGAGGGGACCTGGGAGGCCTCGGGCGGCCTCCTGAGAACAGCGCCCTCCGCCCCGCCGCCCTTTCCGGCGCTGGGGACGGTGAGGGCGCAGGGGCTGCTGGGAATAAGGGGCCCCACGCCAGGGCCTGGGGACACCACGCCGGAGCCGGGAGCCGGGCGCTGGAGCCGGGCGCCCGGAAGACCGAAGGGCGCACGTGCTCCGGGAGCAGCACTCACCCAGCAGGTGGGCGCTCAGGTTTATCATTCCTGACGCACGTGACCTGTCCTGTGCTCTGATTGGCGCTCAGGACACAGCCTTTCCCGATTGGCTGATTCAAAGGGAGGGGCTGGCCTTGCTGTTTCAAGATGGCGGCCCCCAGGGACACTGCGAGCCCATTGGACCACACGGTGGCTGCCAAGTCACGTGGCCCAAAATGGCGGCCTCCTGAACCGTCCTCTGGCAGCAAAGGACCGTTATTCTCTCGCTTTGGCTCTGAGGGCTTCCTGTGGTCTGTCCCTGGCGGAGGCCCTGGCGGGGCCTCTGCTCCCCGGGCCGGGCCGGGCCGTGGCTCCGCGGGAGCAGGGGACACTGGCTCTCTGGCTGGTGGGGAAGAGGGGTGTGGTGTCCCGGCTGGTGTGGCCCGGCTGGGAGCCGCCGGCTGGTGTGGCCCGGCTGTCTGGGCGTCCGCCTCCCGCCCTCCTCCGTCAAACCCTCCCGCCCGCCCGCCACCTCCACGCCCGGTGCCCACGGCCGCACGGGCTCCGTCCTGGCAACCCGCGTGGCAGGTCCACCCCACACGCGTGGCAGGTCCACCCCACACGTCGGCCGAGCGCGTTGGTGGGCCGAGGTGAGCCGCTGGGGTCTGCGGGCCCTGTCAGTGCCTCCTGCTCCGCTCTGAGCTCTGAGCAGGGAGGACGGCCCAGCCTCCGGAGCCCAGCGCCCGGCCGAGTGCTGCCCGCTCCGGGGGACGTGCCCGGCCGAGTGCTGCCCACTCCGGGGGACGTGCCGCAGAGCGAGGCCCGGGGCCGGCCCTGTGTGGGGAGGATCGTCCAGCCACCTGCGCCCAGCGGCCTCCGGTCCCCGGGAGCGAGGACAGACAGGAGCCGGCGGGCGAAGGAAAGCCTCCTCTCAGCACCGGTCTCCGCGTGGCATCGGCTCTGCGGGCGGCCTCTCCGGCATTCCGGGCGCTCTGTGCTCCGGGCGGACGGCAGGACCAGCTGCCCCTCAGTGCCCTCCCGCACAGCGCGGGGCAGAGCGGGGGACACCAGGCACCGTGTCTGTCCTGCTCGCAGACACGGCACAGAAATCACGCTCCCTCTGCCCAGCAGTCACACGTGCTCCCCTCTACTGGTTCTGGTTCCCTTTGTTATTGCAGTGTCTGCTCCTGGCATTTATTTATTTATTTAAAAAATATTTTATTGATTTTTATACAGAGAGGAAGGGAGAGGGATAGAGAATTAAAAACATCAATGGGAGCTGAGACCAGTTTGGCTCAATGGATAGAGCGTCGGCTTGGGGACTTGAAAGGTCCCGGGTTCGATTCCGGTCAAGGACATGTACCTTGCTTGCGGGCACATCCTC